CGTGCTCAAGTTTTACGGCCTTAAACATGCTCCTCCTCCCAAAAATGACACAACTGCACCTGGCTCATCACCTTCCAGGACGCCTCTCGCCCCACAGCCAGTCCAGACCATTCCCCTGCCGGCCACTGGCCACATAGATTCGACACTGGCCGCTGCCCCGTACACCGTCGCATTCGCTGCGGAGACTTGGTCGGCTGAACTGTCTGTCCCGGGCGATTCGACGACCTCAGCTGGGCCAGCTGACCTTCCTGCAGACTCCCCGCCTGTCCCGGCATCTGTGGAGACCCGCGACACCACTCACACTATGGACCCAGAGCCCGCTGTGACACTGCACGTCATCAGTTTCCCCTGCACACCGGTGCCTGCTGCTCAAAACCTCGTGGACTGCCAGCACCTACTAACATCATCCTCGATGTATCCAACAGAAGTTCAAGCCCCTGAGCATGCACAGCTCAACGTGCATGATGCTGTGACGATGTCAGGAAATCCCGAGGGCCGCACGCCTGGCTCACCACAGGTGGAGCACGCCGTGCATGCCCCAACAAATGCGCAGTTAAACCATCCGCCTACCACTACGTACGCGTGCTTGAGCATTTCAACGCCGTCGTCGGCCCATGACAACTGTGACGCCACATACCCGCCGCTCGATCTCGCATCACCAAACGTTGGTTCTAGCTCCAACAACGCGACGACTCATCGGCGTACGCCTGCGCGTTACACATCGTCAAAGGTCGGAAAAAGCAATCTATCAGTGCCCTCTGAGCCGGCTCGTTATCACTGTAAACCATGTCGCACTTCATCGGTCCAAAGCGCACTGTTTCCAACTTATCTGCACCCTACTCGGCTGACCAGGCGGCCGCCGCAGCCGGTAATGTGCCACCGGAAGCGACGGTACCAGCACGGTAAACACACTACCAGGGTTGACCGCACTCCCCGTCGACGTTCCCACCAGCTCCAACAAAGAAGTAACACTAGACCTTCTGGACTGGCCGTACTACACTCATGCTACAGTCCATCTTTTAAGCATCAGTGTCCGAGTGCGCGCGACAATCGACCGCACCGAAACGGCCCGTGTGTGTTCTCGGCCCTTGACCATTTTTCGCCTTGTCGTTGGTACTCGCTATCAACAAAAGTGCCCCTTCATCACGACCCTCGCCCGCTCCTTCCAACAGCGTGCCTGCGTAGCCACCCTCGTCCGCTGCGCCATTCCCAGTGTCGCCCGCCAGAGACCCGCTGCTTACCGATGGCCCATCAACGTTGACAACCTGGACTTTCCAAATGAACGCTTTATAGATTGTCGTTCATGTATATAGCTTTTGTCACTATCTTTCTTTTTTTTTTCATATGCCTTCAAATCGCGCAAAGCGCTAGGGGGGGGGAGCCCTGTAGTGCCATCATCACCATCATCATTTCTCAATCACCGCGCCGCGCCTCTCGCGCAGCTGATGCTAGCTCGAGCTGCGCGAGTATTAGAACGAGCTCACGCACCTGGCGCGTCGGACGTGGACAGCCACCGCGGCTCCTCTTCAGGCGTGAAATAAAGTGGCGAGATCAGCACGGCCCCGTCGGCCGCCTTCGACGCCGTCTCACGTCTCTCTTCTCTCGCTGCTACAAGTCATATCAACCGGTAAAAGGAAACACAAACCCAAGAGCTGGTGGGATGAGGAAGAGTCATAGTAAGATGTCAGGAAGCCTCCAGGGAACACTGGTATGTTAAACAGAAGGGTGAATCGAAAGATGGTGTCAAAAGAAAATGGGATAACTTTCCGAGTTGCAGAAGGGAAGAAAGCCTGCAATCCGATCAGTGAAAGTATTAGAAGGGGGAACTAAACTAGGCAGTTGCAAAGTTTTGGAGCTATCTCAAGTAATAAGACATGCATCTAGCAGAGGTTTATAACTAACGTTTAAGGGGTTAGACTAGAAAGGAATGAGGCAATGAAATATATAAAAACAATGATAACAGAAAAATTTAACACCGAAAAAGTGCTGCATGCGTCATACCAGATTAGGATGAACCTATTAGTGTAGTGGCTTCACTGGGACGAGAGTGAGAAAGGGCAGAAGACAGAGTTGCTAATAGCACATCAACAGGCCCCGACGGAATCCCAATCATGCTAATAAATAAACTAGGACAAAACTCTAAGCAAACATTAAAAGAGGCAGCAAGTAAAGCAATAATGGATGGTGAAGTACTCGAGGGATGGAAACTTAGCAGGATGAGTATGATCTGTAAAGGAAAGGGGGGAAAAGCCGACATAAACAACTACTGTCCTATAACAGTGACATTAGTGGTCTACAGGCTGATGGTGCAGATTATAAAGGAAAGACTGCAGGCATGGTAAGAGTACGAGGCAGTGCTGGGGAACTGCAGAATGTTTTTTGGAAACAAACGAGGTTGGCAGACGATCTGTTCTCACTGACGCAGTGCATCGAAATAGCAGAAAAGGAAGACAGGCCCCTGTAGCTAGCATTTTTGGATATCAGGGGAGCGTACGATAGCGTGGTTCAAGAGGACTTGCGGGGAATACTGAACACACTGCGTGTAGAAGATAGTCGCTAATCTTTTAAAGGATATCTTTAAAAGTAACAAGGTAGTTATAAAATGGGAAAAACAAGTATCCAAGCCCACAGAGATAAGACGGTGGCTTAGGCAGGGGTGTTCTCTGTCACCCTTGTTATTCTTGATGTACCTACAAGGATTGGAGAGCAAATTTGAGGGGAGTGGGCCTGGGCCGGTAACCCTGCAGAGTTTCCTTTTTTTTTTTAAAGTTTTTCCGTCCGTCTGAGGGGAGTGGACTTGGCTTCAGCCTCTTTCGTCAAACAGGCACTACCAGCATTGATCTACACAGATGATATAGTGCTAATGGCCGAAAAGGATTTGCAGAGATTGATAAACATCTGCGGTAATGAGGGAAATAGGTTAGATTTCAGATTCAGTAAGGAAAAATCGGCAGTCATGATTTTAATGATAATGATGGTAGTGAGCTTAGGATACAGGTTTACATTAGAGATAACAAATTAATACAAATATCTGGGCGTGTGAATAAGCAATGGGACTGAGTACCTAAGGGAGCATGAAAGATACGTAATAAGTGAAGGTAACAGAAATGCAGCGGTAATAAAAAATAGGGCACTGTGCATTTACAATAGGTATGATGTTGTAAGAGGAATTCGGAAAGGGGTCATGGTCCCGAGTATGACGTTCAGTAATGCGGTCTTGGGCATTAGATCAGAGGTTCAAGCAAGATTGGAAATAAAACATGGCATAGGCAGACTTGCTTTGGGAGCTCACAGGAATACCCCTAATCAGGGGATACAGGGTGACGTGGGATGGACATCGTTTCAGCGCAGGGAAGCTCGCAGCAAGATAGAATTTGAAGAGCAATTGAGAAATATGGGAGAGGAGCATTGGGCTAGGAAAGTTTTCAGCTACTTGTACATTAAGAATGTTGATACTAAATGGAGGAAGCGAACTCGAAAATTGTCAAACAAGCATTGAGACAACAGCAAAATACCAAGCCTAAAGGAAACATTGCTTAAGAAGGTGAAGGAAACGGAGAGGGACATGTGGAAGATTGGAATGCTTTCGAAATCATCACTGGAAACCTACCGAACTTTCAAGCAGGGAATCGCAGTGAAATTATCTATACAGGCGGTTACATGCAGACTAATATACATCCATTTGTTTATAGGGAACACTTTGTAATTTTCAATAATTTAAATTCAAATCAAAGGGAATTCGAATACCCTACTATTCGTTCGAAATTTCGCACAAGCCTTGAATTTTGTTATAAATGCTGGGTACTAGTTGGGGCGTGCCACGGGAACCTTATTAACTTGTGTAGACTTTATGTAGTTTACATGGTTCGGCTTAAGTACACCCTCCTTGTTTACAGATTTTCACTGCAACCGCCACTGGCATTCATGACCTGTAGAGACTGATTAATTTGTGGGGTTTAACGTCCCAAAACCACCATATGATTATGAGAGACGCCGTAGTGGAGGACTCCGGAAATTTTGACCACCTGGGGTTCTTTAACGTGCACCCAAATCTGAGCACACAGGCCTACGACATTTCCGCCTCCATCGAAATGCAGCCCAGCACCTTAGCCACTAGACCACCGTGGCGGGGCGATCTGTAGAGATTCCATAGTGTACATTATACTGTAATGATTTTACAATGTCTGATGCTGGAAAGTGCTTTATTGAAAAAATAAATGGGGGAGGCACAAGACCCATGTGGGGATAAGCTGGACTTTCTAACTACTCTACTAATTTTCACTGTCGTAGGTTTTGCACTTATTATAGTCACCATCACTAGTACCGAGGCAGTATGCGGTTGGTACTGTGGTTTGTCGGACCCCCTAAACCACTCCAACTTGCATATTGCGCAAATAACTGCATGCTTGGGTTCATAAGGAGCGCCTCACAATAATTTGTGGCCTGCAAAGCTTGTATGGCCATTCACCCTTTATCAAATGCAGAACACTGCCACAGTAAGCTAAGCGGTGAATGTCTGCAGCAGCACAGCACGCAGCGATTGCACATCATTGTTGCCATTGTGCCAAAGAGTTGAGTGTGTGCACAATTTGCGTGGACATCACGATTATTAACGAAGACTTCTTGAGAGTGCGAAGGCGAACACTTGCTAGAAAATAGGACTGGTGGGGTAACCTGCGCAATGGGTTTTCTACTAGCATGTCTCGGAGGCGTGCGCACGTAGTGCATTATGACTACTGAGGGAGCCATTTGACTTGAGAGCTCATACGAGTTTACCCCGAGGGGCAGAGAAAGATTGGTCGACCCACCTGTTCAAGGAGCAGCGGCATGTGCCGCCGTATGGCCCCAGGACACACCTGTAGGCCCCAGCATCTAGATAATTTCTATCAGCCTGCAGGCTTTTTCACGCTTACGAATGATGCTTTGAATAGCAGCAGCTGTAGCATCTTCTCATGCTGGACAATGTTGATATTCAGTTGTACACAAATAAGAGAAGTAGACTACATATGCTTGAGCTTTTATTTACTTCCAGAGGCAGATGTTACTTGAAAGCCTCGTATCAACAATACAATGAAAAAAAAAAAAGCACCTGTGCATTGGAGCTTCTATCACATCCGCAAAGCAAAGCCAAGTTCCTCATGGCAAACATTTAGTGTCTGCTTTTCTTGTGATTTGATGTAATTAATTACAAGGCACACAGAACAAAACTTCTGCACATGAAACATGAAAATGCACGACCGAAAGAAAAGGAAGAACAAAACATTCTCTCGTGTTATTTTCACAATAAAGGTGAAGAGTTTTTATCACAAAATGCTCGTCAAAATGACATGTCAAAAGAATGACAAAGAAACTGCCTCCACATTGGCCCCCTTTCAACACAATCGTCACAATCGTGCTGACCATTCCTTGTTTCGCCATATATAGCAGAGAACATTGGTACGAAAATTTAGAGCACATTCACGAAGTGCAATATTGCATATGCGTTCCGTGGTCATAAATGGCCTCACAAAGTGAGCAGTGGTGAACTTTGATAGTATTTTAGGCAGGCGTGAAACTGTTGAAGTAGCTCTGAAAATGCTGGCAGGGCAAAGCTGTCGAATACACAACATGTTTATGAAAAACTTCATCACGTGATTTTGTACATACTTATGCAAACTTCCATTACAAGGTATCTGAAGAAAACACTAATGCAGTTAGAAAAATTCACCCGAACAGCGTGCTGAAAAGTGGACTGCCATGCAGTCATAAATTGTTTCATTCGCAACTATTGCTTCTACGAACCAAATGAAACACTGCACTAGCCATTACACAATTTCTTTAGGTACAATGCTCAGAGTGGCACACTGTTGCTAGGTGGCTTTCTGGTGCGCTAGTAAGTTCACACCTTGAGACATCTGTGAAAATTGAGAGAGGATAAAAGAAACAAACAAGCTTCTTTTTACTGACAACCAGTGCCTATTGCAACTTAAGAACTATTGGTAAATAGATGAGCAAGAACTCAAAAAATGGCATGCATGCTTCGTTGGCAAAAATATTACGGGTGACGAAGGTGATAAAGGTAGCCAATTTGAGATTCTCTACCCAAACAAGTTGATGCAAAGACACGCTGAAAGAAGTACAACACGAGGAAGTGTTTCTTGTTGAGGAATGCAGCTAAAGACATTTCTTGGTTTTCCTTTACATGCCATTCATTTCGTATTTGAGTTCCATGAGGTTGTCGTTTATCCGTTCAACAACCTCATTTAACCTGAAATGGATAAGAAAAAAAAAAGATAAAAATGCATGGCACAAGTCCAATGATTACAGCATACTAGGCTTGTGTGAATATCGCAAATTTTAGGTTTGAATATAATTTCAATACAATCTATCACATAATAAGAAAAATGAGCACAATTGTGACCAAATAAACCTGCACAATATTTTTTTAGAAATTGAAAGGAGGCATGTGCAAATGTCGGGGGGTCAAAAGAAAGTGTAAGCAACTTGGAAATGCAGCAGGATCAGGCGGATACTAAAACAGTGCGAAAGACTGTGCACAAAAAGAAAAAGACGCAACAGTGCTGACATACAACAAAGTTTATTCCTTAACACCGCACAATATATATTTGCACAGTACCAAATGAAAGAACACAAAGACAAACTATGATGAAAACATATCTGCAGCATCACTGCTAACCATGCACTTCGCGCATGCATCGGACAGAATCAATTTCTTTGCCTGTCAAAGCAACGGAAGGTGCTGTTCACACATGCACTGCCGCAGAATCTTGCAGTTTCTAACAGCTCAAATTTTTCGTGCCAGCTGGTCCCGATGATGCTTTACAACCATGCAATGCAGACACTCAGGAATGCAGCCACAGTCGCAGTAGTCGATACCAATGTGGCCAGATATCACCTAAGAAACACTGTAAGCATGTTCATTTAGACACTCGTAGAAACGTCTGCCCGTTTGGCCGATGAGACACTTGCCACAAGACAGTGACAAGAAGTATACCACACATTCAACACATGGCTTTTATCAATGCCTATAATTTTTTCCTTCCTTTCTTTCATTTGGGACTGCACAGATAGATATTATGATGTGTTAAAGGGGCACTGACAATATTTCATGGCCATGATCACCCGCAGGATCGATTCCTCTGAACATTCATATAACACTGCAAAATATCAACAGCAAATATAGCTTGGATGGCATTTTAAATTAATTTTGAAGTGTGAATTTTTTACCGCCTTCCCTTATGTTACCACATTACAGTTTATATGTATATTCAAAAACAAAAAAAGCTATGATGACGTCATAGCCACCATTTTTCTTTTGTAACGTTTGTTCCTGCTGCCTATACTTTGAGGCTGCTCGGGACCCCTTGGCCGCAGCACACGCATTGAAAGTCTGGCGTTTGGCGACACTGCTGTCCCATTCCTTCTTCGAAAGGATTTCATGATGCTCACCATGCGGATGTGCGTCACAGTTCTGCATGCTGACGTGGTTGAGGGCTGCACATGAATGCTAGGTGGTGATAGTTGCACCTGATGGCTCATAGTTCTTCGAGCTCTCTCAAACCGAAACTGGTCGGTAATTATCCATCGCCAATTAATTATCCATTGCACACTGCAGCCATGTTTTGACTAACATGGCCCCCAGCAACACACGGCAGCAACAACACGAGGCCAAAGTTTGTGCGAGTACCCTTTAACACGAGGCCAAAGTTTGTGCGAGTACCCTTTAACAAATAAACTTTGTTGTAGAAGTGTCCATTTTCTTGTGCTCCATCTTTTGCACTGTTTTTCTATACACCATGATGTACCAACACTCCCAACGATTCAGTGTACTTAGAGCATATAGCCGGTATAAAGAACTTTGAATCGATGTGAAGGTAATATGCTCAATTAGCCATGAAATGGGGCTTCGTGACAGTGCAGATTTTTTCCTGTATAGGTGCCTTAACGTTATAGCAACCCATTGACCTCCATGAAAACTTCCCTGCTACTGGAGGCCAGAGCTTCTGAAGCCACTGGAAGTTCCTCAAAATCTGCCCCGAAAGCGGCCATCTGCTGCCTTTTTATGCGCGCTGAGCTGTTTTTGTTATTGTATTCGAGCTGTTTTTACATCACTTCTTTTGTCATCAATTGCAAGACAAGGGAGCATGCGGCAGTTAATGATGCAAATAAACAGACTAAATGAACTTTTTGAAATGAAAATACATTCACATACGTCTTTTTCAAAGTTGCGCCTTCATATGAACACTCCATGTTGCGGTTTTATAAATGCTGATTGCGATGTGCATAGAAGTGAGGCCATCCGATTACGCTAAATGTGTTCAAGATACCGGAATAGCTACACATTGTTAATAGCGACATTGATATCCACGCATTTTTTTTATGGATAACTCAAAATGATGAGTTTCAAGACATGCTTGTGGGTGTCTGATCTAATAGTGTTGCTATTTGGCTACTCTATATATTTGAATAGTGATGAACACTAATTTTTGTATGTGATACAATTATGCCTTTCACGTGAAGCATAAATTTGTTGGGCTCAGCAGTCGATTAAAGCTTGTCCTTCTGCAGCTCTGGTTGTGGAAAGTAAGTCTGCCAGGAGCTCGGTGATGGTTGACACAAGAGTGAGACATTTTCTCTCCAGAAACCTAGGCTCCCGGGTGCCGCATTAATTTCTCTTTTGTCTAAAAGATGGTGCCGTCTGTACAATGACAGTTTTACTTGATGAAATTTTCACAACTTGCGACTGGGCACACCGTGAGGTCTCGCTATCCTGATAGCATGACCGACATGACAGCGACATCTTAAAGACTGGGCTCATTCTCCAAGTTCCAAGTTAAGTGTCGTACGACGTTATCGACATAGACATGACCAACTGCGTAGCGAATCAATGCAAATGCTGCTTACCTCTGCAGTTACACTAAGGTGTGTTGCGGCAAAATGTGCCGCATGGACGTTCTAATCTTGCACATCGCATAAAAAACCATCTTCCGTTAGGTTGTCATGCGTACTAAGAGACGCAAATCTGCATGCCTGGCCAAACCAATGAAAAATACCGACCAGCACACCAGAGTACAAGTCAAAACTAACTTGCACAGCCTTTATAGTGTGGTGTAGTGCGCACCGTGTTGGCTATGAGTCCTACCCTCAGCATTTTATTTTTCCCTTTTCTTTTGTCACAGCGATTGTGTTTTACTCAAAATTATAATTTGGGCATGAACAAAACTTTCAAAAAGTGGTTGAATTGACTGATTCTGGCTTACAACAGGTGTCAGTGTGCTGGGTGCCAGTGCCAAGCGTGCGTCGTGCAGTAAGCCAGCCCCAGTAACCGTTGCTGCAATGGTACGATAACCGTGCATCACGTTGGAACAGCGCCCCTAGGTTTTCCAATAGGGTAGCCAGTAACGAGCGCATGTGTTGCGGTACCTACACTTGTGAGGAAACGTGAACCACCCGATATTTTATGCGAGGCTGAAGTTGTTGGTAGTACGAAGTGGCTCGTGGCTCAAGGGATTTGCCGCCTTAGAATCAGAACCACAAAGCCTGCAATGTAGCCAGCTACATTGTCAACATAGTGTGACAGTGAAGGATTATGCCTAACCTTTAAATCAATTTTTTTCTAGGGGAGCTCACAAAAATGCTCGCAATTTTCACTACCAACAGATCATACCTCACAGCTTATTCCCTAGTAATGCGAGCAAAACTCTGTCGAATTTCCTGGTACCCACTCGTGAAACGCCTACCTTGAAGGCCTTCTCAGTCAGTTTGAGAACTTTACAGTGCCATACAGGAAGGCATATAAGGCAATATAGAGAATGAAATGCTGGTCCGCCAACAGCAAACGAGTGGTTGCGTGTTTTGTTCCAGGACACCAACGGCGGTTTCCGTCGACTTCAACTCTTTAACTGCGCACGCTCGATTCGCCATCCAGTTCCTAGTGAATATGAGTGCAACACCCCTCTACTACAGTGAAACCACCCTTACAACTACAATACGCCTACTTGTTCACTTTGAATACTACAAAATTACCAATAAACTAAATTCAAATTGAAGTGAATCAGATATTCAGCTGAATATACGAGGTGCTCGAATACACGCCTAAGCCTAGAATTTTTAAATACTCGTCAATGATCTGGTTTTGCTGGATTTAGTCATTCAGGTGTGATTGTAAAATTTTCAACTATGTTTAAATATTGTAAGTCATCACTTGCCTAGCCTTCATGGATGCCACATCGGCTTGGTTCTTGTACTCCTCTGGATTGTCCAGCAGATCCTGCTTGGCTAGCTGCAGCTTTGCTGTCTGTACCACAAAATAAGCACTAGTAAAAAACACCAATCACTGTACAAGGTTGTATCAGAAACTCTGAGCCGGAGATTTCAAACTTTGAGTGACTAGTAATGTTTGTAATGTTTAACTAATTTCAATTACAACATTTGTTAACATTTATTTGCTTGTGTGTTTCTTAACAATTGCATTGCCAGAGTTCCTTTGGGTCAATACAGTAAGAGCTCGTTATTTCTGAGCTCAAAGAAGACTAAGATTAGATTAGGTGGCGTTCAAATTAGGGGGCATATGCTGGAATGAATAGGCACCACGCCACACTGTGTAGAGAGAACACATAGAAGCCACCTCTGGGCTCGTTCTTGCAAATTAGGCGATGCTACATGTTTGTGGTGGGTAATTTTGTAAACCAAGTTTACGCTCTAATAGTGAACAGAATTTATTGATCAGTTAGTGGTACGCCAGAAACAAGCAGTGACTTGCATTCATGAGAGCAGTGAGCCTTAAAGCATGTTCGTTTACATGGCAGAGCTAAGGAAATCAAACGTGTCCCAGGAGACACGGCTAAAGGCAAACATTGCCCGACTGGTCCGTGCCACCCAAACAGCAGCAGCAGACAGACAACATTTGCAATAATGACAGCATACACGAAATTCATTTGTTTCACAGAGATGCAAGTAACGAGTCATTTCAGTGACGAAGGCCAGGGGGCTCCCAGTTTAAATTGACCTTTGTAGACACTAACGCACATGAATTATAGGTAGAATCATCCCAATAGAAATACAGAAGACCGTAGTGACACTAGGATATCAGTTCTAATTAACTGTAAGCACAAATTAACAAGCATTTACTGTATTGTAGATAACTATAGTTGAGCCCTTTTACAAGAGGCAATGATGTAACAGACAATTGGGTAGAAGAGACAATAGTGTGCCTGCATCAAAATAGGGGTTGATGAGAGAACGTGCACGTGGTACCCTGCTTATGAGAGACGCCTCATATAAAAGGGTTCAACTGTAATTAAATATAAAAGAGCGGTTGTCCATACCAGCTCCAGCTTGACTTTTTCCTCTTCTTGTAAGGCTCGCACGTAATCTGCTAGGTGTCCCGAATTATAGTTGAGCCTCAGCCGCCGCTCAATATCCATCATGCCCTCCGAGATGCGCTTGAACTCTTGGGTCACCTCACGCACCAGCTCCCGAAAAGTGGGGAAGTCGTAGTTGGGGGCAGTCGACAGGTATATCTTGTGGCCCCTGGAGAACACCGAGCACAACACTAGTCTTTCTACCATCAGAAAAGAAGAAAGCTGGCAACTATTAAAGCAATAGTTGCACGACATCACTGCAGAAATACAATTATCAATTTAATAAATGCCATAGAGTTTCTTACAAAATTACCAAGAGGGAAATGTATTGCCACCATCTATGCGATCGCTAGGAATAAAGATGTATGTGTCTGCGAGGCTTGTGTAGGCGGATGTTGAGCGAGGCTTCAACTCAAAAGCGAATAGAACTGCGTAAAAAAAGCTTCTCTAAAACAAAATGTTTATAAGCAGATCTCATTCACGCGAATTATATTTTAAAATAAATATCCACTCATCTTGGCGGCACAACGAAATGGCAAAAGAAAGAAACGGATGGCATGAAGTGGCAGAGGGAATGCTCGTTTTGTCGTCTGCCTGCCAAGTTTAGCGGCCGTTGGTTGCTTCTTAAGCTTCATAAAATTGTACTGTGCATCGACGCAGAAGGTTCTAGTGTTAAATAAAACACGTTTCCATGCAATGACAAAAAATAAATGGCTTATGTGCTATTTTAGTAAGAAATCAATCATTTTAACTTGAAGTCAGACGTGTATTAGAGGTATACGAATCAGAGTCAAATTCGAAGCTCGCATATCCCGGCATTCTCTTGCATCCAGCAGCCCACAAGCGCCAGATTTCCCTCTACATAATTTTGTGAGAAACTGACAAATGTCACTCCTCAGCACACCGCAATGTAGATGTCTCAAATCGAAAAAATGGCAAACTAGTGCTACATGACGCCAACAAGAGGAAAGTGTTCCACACTTGCCATCATGGCTACTAGCAGCACTGACCACTTTCCCCAAGTCTAAGCAAAAATATACACCCTATAAAGTAGACGGGTGAATTATCGCCACTGTAACTCAGTTGCTAGAGCACAGGATGCGTTATTCGAAGATCGCATGTTTTAAGTTTTGCCAGCAGCAAGCTATTTGTTCATCCAGTTTTCTTCAAGTTTACATAAAAATTACTACTACTGTATTTACGCGCGTAGTCCTCGCATTTGCGTAATGCTTGCACCCCCCACATTGCCCAACAATTTTTTTTTTGTGAGCAATTGTCACACCACCAAAAATTGTAGCCATATTGTTGTCTGCTTCTTCCAATCACTGATGATACTGCACGACAGCCTGGCGCCATCTTTTAAGCATTGTGCGTATTATCAACACACGATGCTCCAATCTAATTCAAGTCAAGCCAAAGCGACAAGTGCACGTTGTGGCGTATTAGTGTATGCTGTGTTTGTTCTGTGGTTACGGCTACTTTGAAGTTGAAAGTGATTGATCATGCACTAAACAATAACATTGGGGCCGCCAGAAGGCACTTGTGTTCGCTACTGGTGACGACAGCATGGGCAGCTGAAAGCTACCAAGTTGCGCTGGGCCTTCCGTGTGCCCAAGACTGAGATGGATGGAACTATTTCGTCAGAAGGTAACTGCGGACGATTTCGTGTTGCCATCAGCACAAGGCTGACGTCGTATGCTAACCTATTGTAGGCTCCCGTTCAATAAAAAACGCTGCTACGCCCGCACGCTTTGCATGCGGTATTTCACGACTCTGCTATTCGATAGCAGTTTTTGTGTCTCAAACAAATCTTGCTTTATGTTGAACCTGTCGCAATATTATTAAGGCAAGTCTTGATGATGTTACGAAGCCGAGACGCCAAAACGGTTCCGAAGGCGCCACTGCTCCGAACTTCGCCGACACGGTCTGCAGCCGTTTGGTAGCGTAGGTTTCTCAGCTCGCGACTGCTTCAGCGCAGAGCTGATAGACGAGCGGACAAGATGACGGCGAGTTAAAGCAAGGTTTATGTACAGCATAGAAATAGAGGCGTTACAAATTTGGCACTGGGGCCGACAGCTTAGAGACTCGAAAAGCCGAGATGTCTTCTCTCGCACGCATCCGTCGGCTTCTCTCTCTGTTACGAAGCGCACCGCCCACGAGGTTACGAAGGGCGCTCCTCGCAATGAGAGGCTTCTCTGACACATAGGTCTGCTGCTGGCGATGCGCCGCCGGGCTTTTTTTTTATAGGCACCGGGTGGATCCTTTGAGTAACCAAATATCCAACCAGAAGCACTGCTGGCCGTGATGTCGGAATCCTCCAATGGGGCTCGCCGCTGCGCGTGGTTGCACCAAGGACGAGAGATGTTGCCACGCATTGCGTAAGATTCGCCAGACTGGAAAGCACCGATTGCTTAAATGGGTTTGCGGGCCGAGGGAGCTCGCTGTGCGTTGTGTGACAGACCGCCGCCGCCGCTTGATGACATCGTTGAGTCGATAGTGTCAGGCAGGCTCGAGCGATGGCCTTGACACAGATTGCATTTGCAGAGGCATTGGCGTTCAGTGTGGACTCCCAGGCATAACAGCACCCCCGCCGCCAGACAATGCGCCGGAAAGACGAGCTGCTTCCACGTGGCTCGGATGTCGGGCACGCTCGTTCGCCAGGGCCCTCCAGGTTTGCCTCCAAGGCCATGGGGAGAATGCAGCTCCAGACTCCATTCCGCGAACACATCCCAATCTTGAGGACGGATTCCAGCTCCCACTGGCTTGTCGCCACAACTTGCCGGCCAGCTTTGCTCGTCTCTTCTGACGATTTTTGGTCACAGCACTTGTCCATGGTTATGCAACTTGTCAAGAACGGTTCGACAACAGAGAACACGCAACACAAGCAACTGCCCCCGGTCACCCGACAGAACACCAGACAAAGTATAGTATAACATATACCTAGCTACGTGTTTATCGGAATTTCGTTCCCTCTACATCAAGAGGCACATGTGGTATACAAGAATCTTAATATGAGAACTCAGATTTTTACACTTACAGCAACGTAATGAAATAGAATGCAACATAAAGTTGGCCCCTTGAGATCACTCTGAACGAGAGCGCTCGGCTAAGGCCGTGATGAGGACAAAATTTTGCTCCGGATCGCCAGCGAGAAACAAAAAAGTGGAGAAGATACTAACTAAAACGCACAGCTCAATGAGTCTGCATTAGCGTTTAGCTTTCCTTTTTTTTTTTTTTTTGCAGCAAACGTCAAAGTTGTGCTGTTGGAGTATCATGCTCCAGCTCAGTAACCGGCCACTTTAAGGCGACAATACCTATGCAGTTCCAAGAGCTGCTCATACTTGCGACGTAGCACATCTGTGCAACTACAATATGGGAGTCCCAATTTCTCATAAAAAGAAACATTCTCTTTCTTGGTTCCCATCTTTACACTTTCCATTAGCGCTTTAATAGAGAGGTTCTCGCGCTGTTCTTGACTGAGCGTTTCTCGATCAGCCCTCGACGGCTCACTCCAACTTTCCGCTACAGGCGAGAGCGTTGCACCCCTCTCGCTCTGACTCAATGGCGCCATGTCGTCTCCTCCGCCGACACAGACCGCGCCAGTCGCTTTGGCGACGGGCCGCTCGAGTGACTGCTCAAATGACTCACATGGAGAATTTCCTGTCTGAGGTTCCGTCGACTCACCGCCAAGGTCACGCACGTCAGCAGTTTTGCACTTGGCACGTGCTTCACCACATTGAACAAGATCAAGTTCCAGCGAAATCTTCCGCGCTTGCGATCGCGTGAGGACCATGTACGCTAAGTTGGAGAAGAACGGAAAACGATCGGGAAGCGCGGCAGACGCAGCCGCTTCAGTGCGAAGCTTACCCAACGGGCCTTCAATGAAACCGTAGCGATTGGTAAGCAAGCACTCTGCTTCTCGGCGACTTGCCTGATCCACGCGCATTCTCCTGTAAAGTCATCCGGAGACACCAACGAAGAATGGACAACGTCCATGGTTACCGCTAAGTCTCGAAGTGCCCGACACGTTTTTCCATTCACACTAATTTCTTGGAGATACGGTTCTAACAACAGCATGTTCTTTTCCGATTCTCGGATTGTTGCGAAAGAAAACTTTTGCTTACAGTTTATCGCCACATGCACTTCTTTTTTGCAGCTGTAGCAGATTCGCGGCTTCCCCGTGTGGTATCAGTGCGTTGTTTAGGAACCGCACTTGATTTCTCCACTTCCGTTTGCCCTTCCCCTACAGTGTTCTTCATAAGAGACGGGTCCTTCTTGAAAACACGGTGCGGAGCGGCTTTACGTTGATCAGGTTTCTTTGAAAAGCCTTCTTTCCTTTCATCCTTTTCAATGTGCACTGCCCTGCTATGCAATTTTCGGGGAGTACAATACTCCTCAGCTAACTCTGCTGCCTTGTTTAGCTGTACTTCGCCAAGCTTGTCCTGCAGCCAAAGCTTGACATCCTCCTCGATGCAGCAGTAGAATTGCTCCAATGCAATGCATTCTACCATTTTATCGCGATCGTCATAAAAACCTTCGCCCTTGAGCCACTCAATTAAATCGGCTTTAGGACGAAACGCGAAGTCAATGTGTGACTCATTTCCCTCTTTAGCATACCGGAACCTTTGCCAGAAAGCCTCGGGTGACAACAACGTCTCAAGAGCACTTCTTTAACCTCGTCATAGCTCTCAAAGGCTTCCCTCGACAAGACCGTTATTGCGTCGGACACTTCGCCGGGAAGAAGAGCTAACACGTTCTGCGCCCAAAGAGACCGCTCCAAAGCATTTCGCTCACAGACGCGTTCAAACTTGACGAGATACTTCGCCATGTCCTCGCGTACTACAAACTGTGGCAGGTGGTCACGAATCCTCTGACCGCTGACCTGAAGTGTCGCAGAAGCTACGCTAGGCGCCTGTGAACACTGTAGGATTGCCAATTCTATTTGTTTCAACTTAAGGCGCACCTATCTCTCGGCCTCCTCACGGTGTTCTCACCTGTCAGCGTCTCCACGTTCGCGAACTTCTCGCCTTTCAGCTTCATCGTGTAGCTTTGGTATCCGACCAGGCCTCATCGACTTCCTCAGCCGACACTCCTTCATCCTTCATGATCTCAAGAATCGCTTGCTTTCGTTTCGCACGGCCCAAAGTAATGCCAAGTTCCTCACAAATTTCGATGAATTCCTTCACTTTAAGGTTCTCCATTGTTCACACTAGCCTCTTGCTGTTTGCCCCTGTTAAGAATCTGCTTGCCGTACCCACTACAAGTCTACTAGCAACACGCGCAAGCAATTTTTAACACTGCCGTGTTTACACCCTCCGCATTAACTTTGGTTTCAAAGCGCTCCGACTTGGCTTGAAACGATCAAAGCTCACTCTAATGCTTCACACAGCCATTCTCTAAACTACTATAAACTGAGCTAGAGTAGTCTGGTGAACTGAGGGGAAAACATCAGGCACTCACCGCATCGATGTCGCTGACGCCGGCCGATCCCGCAGCTGCCAACCATTGTTACGAAGGCGAGGCGCCGTCACTGTCCCGAAGGCGCCACTACTCCAAACTCCACCGACACGGTCACCAGCCATTTTTTATCGTAGGTTTCTCAGCTCGGGCCTGCTTCTGCGCAGAGCTGATACACGTGCGGACTAGACGACGGTGAGTTAAGGCAAGGTTTATGTACAGCATAGAAATAGAGGTGTTACAAATTCGGCACTGAGGCCGACAGCTTAGGGACTCGAAGAGCCGAGATGTCTTCTCTCGCACGCATCCGTCAGCTTCTTTCTCTGTTACGAAGCACATCACCGACTGCGAAAGGGGCTCGACGCAATGAGAGGCTTTTCTGACACATAGGTCTACTGCTGGCGGCGCACCGCAGGGCTTTTTTTATAGGCACCAGGTGGATCCTTTGAGTAACCGAATGTCCAACCAGAAGAGCCGCTGGCCATCATGTCGGAATCCTCCAATGGGGCCCGCCGCTGCGCGTGGTTGCAGGAAGGACGAGGGATGTTGCCACGCATTGCGTAAGGCTCGCCAAACTGGAAGGCGCCGATTGCTGCACGTGGTTGCAGCCAAAGACGAGTGACATACCCACGCATTGCATAAGACTCGCCAGACTGGAAGGCGCCAATTGCTTAAACGGGCTCGTGGGCTGAGGGAGCTCGCTTAATTGCGTGACAGACCGCCGCCGCCGTTTGATGACGTCGTCGAGTCGATTGCATCAGGCGGGCTCGAGCACTGGCCTTGACACAGATTGCCTTTCCAGAGGCATTGGCATTCAGTGTGGACTCCCAGGCATAACAATGACTACTTCTCAGAGCTTATAGGTTACTAGCGTGAGAATCTTTCTTTGCGGACACTTTGATTTTTTTGTTTACTTCGAAGTTTCCATGGAAACTTTTCCTCACTCGATCCTTGCACCCCTGCCTTTTCATCAGGTTTCCGCAAAAAAAAAAGTGCGAGGATTATGCAAGTAAATATGGCAACATCCCCTGTACCTTTTTTGACATCGTTGTCTGTTATTATTAAAATATTGTGTTTTTCAAAACTAACAGGACAAGAGACCTGTAACACTGCACCAACCACCACGACATGCAGCACAATACATGACATTACACCAGATGCAGAGTAGTGTGTGGCAAAGACATACAATCCAGGTGTTCCGAAAATTTCATTCCTTCCATAATGCAGCCGGGAATAGAACCTGCACCCTCAAGCTCAGCTTTGCAACACTGTACGTGCTAAGCTATGACTGCAGGTGAACCTTCGATGTTCTCAAATAAAACACACACTGGTGCAATACAAAGCAATGCAGTATGTCCTTCCACCCTTACAGATGCCACATACATGTGTCAAGTTGATACAACACTAGAACTAGGTACTCAAGGATGAATGAATGTTCTTATTGAAAAAAAATCAAGGTATGCTCGTGTAACACTAATTAATCCTAATGAAGTTGCACGGTCATCATCATCATCAGCCCGACTACGTCCACTGCAGGGCAAAGGCCTATCTTATGATTGGCCAACCAACCCGGTCTTGTGCTTTCTGCTCCCTTGTTATACCTGCGAAATTTTAGGGGCGTAGCTCCTTAGGGCATGGGTCTGTGAATCCCTTGTATGTATGTAGTAGTACATAGCCACCGGTGGTATATACCCGCTCTAGAGGAGGTATGTGCCACAGGGAATGCGAGATGGGAGATGGCGATACTTGTTCAATAGATAGACGCACGGACGGATGGATGCACGAATAGAAAGACAGACAGATGGATAGACGGACTCGCGGATAGACGCATAGACAGACGGACGGAGGCACCGACGGGCTGACGGACGCTTCGCCCCGCCCATCATCATTCACTCCGTGGATATGCTGCGATTTTTAATATCATCGGCCCACCTAACTTATTGTTTCCTCTTTATGCATTCGCTTTCTCTGGGAATCCAGTCAGTTACCCTGAATCTGCACTTACCCTGCTTACATGCACATTACATTAGTTTTGTACATATTATTTTCAGACCTCCTCTTCCTCGGGGACAAGATTTTGTGGCAATGCAGGGAAAGCTACGGCGCATGGGCTAACTGCACATGTATTCTTACGCAAAGTAGTCCGGTTTGGCTCACGTTACGAATGACCGCCGTGTTCTAATACTACCACTACATAGGATTTGCTATGTCAGCTTGCACAGCTATTTGTGAGTGAAATTCGTCACAAGTTCCTTCAGCGAGTCGTCTAAATAGCTGGAGGGCAACGACTGCTCACCTGAAGAAAAATACGCCATTGACTGCGAGATGCACCTGAAACGTGCCACATTTTCAGAGTAAAAATGCGAAATGACACTTCTAAAGCAACATAAATATCTCCGTTTTGTACAGTGTCTCTTTATAAACAGCATCCTGTAGAAAACATAGTAGCGTTTTATACGATTTTCACACGTAAAACACAGACGAATTTATGGGACTATGTTTTACAGCGGTGACACACGCCCACTTTTGTTCCGTAGCCTTCTCTTCATTGACACAGAAAGTTGTCCCCAAGTATAGATATTGATTGCGAAGCCACTGATGCTTTGTTTTTTCAAATATAATATTGTTACGAGTGACTGATTGATTGATATGTGGGGTTTAACATCCAAAAACCACCACATGATTATGAGAGACGCCGTAGTGAAGGGCTCCGGAAATTTCGACCACCTGGGGTTCTTTAACGTGCACCCAAATCTGAGTACACGGGCCTACAACATTTCCGCCCCAATCGGAAATGCAGCCGCCGCAGCCGGGATTTGATCCCGCGACCTGCGGGTCAGCAGCCGAGTACCTTAACCACTAGACCACCAGAGCGGGGCCACATATAATATGAAATCTCAGACAAGAAACATAAGGCAAGTTCATTTTTGGCTATGTCTATCTTGAGCACAGAAAGATTATACTGGCTCACAGGAAGTGGCACGTCCAATGTAGTAAAGAATAAATTGTATAATAAAATTAGATGAACATTAATTTGTTATGCAGAAGGTGTAACTCATCCTAAATTTTATCGCTCTCTCTTGGTCTGCAGTTGATACACCCAGTACGTAAAATTGTGTACGTAGGGTGTTGAAGGGTTAAGATTGATTGCCGTGAACTGTGTACATGTGACAAGAAAGGAGTCTTGTGACCAATATTTACATTATCAATACAGAAAAAGGGAAGAAATATAAGTAGGAGTGCTCAGAAACTGCAGACAGCAAATGTCGCATGCAGGGGCGCAGGCTCTGCAGCACAAAACATTGACTTAACCATTATCAATCATACTCCAATATAAAACAAAGGTCATGCTGCTATCACACCTGTATGTAGCTTTTAAAAGTGCAGTTGCTTTGTAAAGATTTATCAAGCACTACTTTGAACCCGCAGAAACAGCCTTGTAAATTGCAATAGTTACACTAGAGGGAATTCTGGCGCTAGTGTCTAGGGGGGCTGCTATGCATGGCACTTCAGTTAGCATGGCACTGATGGGCAGTACGAGGATCTGTCTAGCTTTCTTTCTTTTGGCTCCATTTGGCTTGATGTGGCCTGCATATGCTCTGAAGGAAAATGTAAATTTAAGCGCTCGTTTTTTTGTCGTTGTTGGATGCAATATTATTGAGAATTAACAGACAATATCAGGGAAAGCATAGGGGATGTTATTGGAAATATTAGTAATGTAAATATGAAGAACTACCTGACGATGGCAAGTTATCTTTTATGGCACATTTCTTTCTTCACACTATTACTTCCAATAACATCCTATATTCTTTCCCTGGCATTACTTTCCGTTATTTTTCATTGCATTGCAAGACAAAAAAAAAAACAAAGATCAGCAAACATTCAGCAGTTCCGCTTCACCACCTCGACTTTTTTCTTTAATGCTGACCAGTACACAACAATGCATTCTTTTACCTGAAATACGGGACAGAGCACATGAATTCATGAAGCCAGAAGTGGATTCGAAGCGAGGAAGCACGAAGACTAGGCAAATCCAGTTACTACCTATCATTCCCATGGTCGCTTAATAATTGCAGCGCCAGAGTTTCCTCTAGTTAATTTTGGAAAACAATGCATTCAGCTACACTAACAGAAGTGCAAGCAAGCAATAGGACGATGGTGGTTATTGCGTCTAACTGACATGAGACAAGGGACGAGAGTCAGGAACTCACTCTTCAAAAAGTCTGTATGTATATGCTCGTTCCTCCTGAAGACTGCAAATCTTTTTCAGCAAACTAAAGACGTCACTACTGCTGTCAACCTGAAAGAAAACATGCAAGCCCAAATAAAACCACATTGCTGGGAAAGTTGTGTATTCATATAAGAGGAAGCAAATCATTGTATTTTTGCATTGACAAGTGGTTGCACAAATTGCAATGCAACACTGGTGTCAAATGATACACTGCTGATGGAGATGAAGCCCACTGAAAATCAAATTGCCCAACAGTGATTGGCTCTCTGCTTTAGCTTGCGTAAAGGAGCCAATCATGATCAAGAAATCCATTTGGATCAAGCCCTATCATAATCAAAAGTGAATGCCTGACACCAGTGTAAAAGATAAGTGCTTTGCGGTAGCTTACACTAGTTTTCATACTGTCTGCCTAGTTGTATACTATTGACTGCATTACATGCAATAAATCTTGTGCATACATTACAATTTCGTACAATTTGCTGCCGCCGGTGTTCATTATATCATTATCAAGCGAAACTAATAATTGATGGGGTTTAATACTCCAAAACCACGTGTTTATTAGAAACATTGTGGATGGCTCCGGAAATTTTGATCCACATGCGCCTCGAGCATTCTTCCCACAGCAAAAATGCGGCCGGGAATCGATCCCGCGACTTGCGGGTCGGCAATCTAACACCATAACCACTAGACCGTGGCGCGTCTTATCTAGTGAAACTGCTCGATAGGTTGTGCCATCCATGCACGTTTTTGATGTGTCCGACAAAGCAGATCCAATGGGAACTTGCGCGCCTAACGGCGCTATGACGGAGCGACGCATAAGCAGCTCACTCTAGTCAAACCTGTAACACGTGGGGGGAGGTGGCGTTCAAACGTGCTGTACTACACGTTATTCACTCGCAGCGCACTGGTTACGCAACCCGAATCGATTTCGGAGAGCTTCATGGCAGACGTGCACTCGCGTTTGCAATGAGCACGTTTCATCAGCGAGCGACTCTCACAAGAAGCAATCGGGCTGAGTCATAACGACGTTCAGAAACTAGAACGCATCAAGATTCATCTGTGCGACGAGACGGGAGGGAAAAAAACGCAAATTTGTCGGGTCGTTTAGGACTAGTTGGCAAACGGACGGGCCACGTGAAAATGACCTATTTCGGTAATAATATTTATAATAATCATAATGCTTAACATGGTTTGCCGTGACAAGATTACGAGAGACCGCAGTGAAGGACTCGGGTAAGTTCAACCGCCCGAGGTTCTTAAATTTGCATCTAAATCATGCGAACACCGGCCTCGAAGATTTTCGCCTCCACCGAAATGACCTATTTCGCCGTTTAACATTTTGAACAAACCGGCCGGTGTGCTTCTTCGTGAGCATGGAAGCGAGGACCCGTTTCAACCGAAACACTTCGCAGCCGTCGTTTCGAGTAGGGGTAATGCATTCGCCCGGAAATTCGCAACGTGAAACCTGAACTGCCGCTTCCGCAGTTGGGTACCCGCTCTGGCGATATTGAGCTGCACGGTACAGCGACACTTTGAAAAGCGCCGTTACGCCGCGGCGACAGCTAGACAATGGAGAGAAGCGTGTGATGTGGTCGGAGCCATGCCGCTGCACGGCGAGCTCGCCTAATTCGGGATGAGCACAGTAATGTCAACCTCCATCGCCAATGACGGGCTTGTGTGATCGAACGCTATTCTACGTATTCATAAGTTGAGAACTTAAAAGGGACAATAGCAAAGCTGGCGAGAACTAATTACCATTTTTAAAGCCGGCGTAGCGTCCGTCAGCTGCTCCAACGCAACAGGTGCTGAGAAAGGGGAACGGCTCATGTTGCCAAGAGCCGTCGCCAAATATAAAAAGAGGCAGAAGTAAGCGCCCTCTTTTAAAAATTTTAGTCACCATTTTATGCAATTCAACCGAATATAGGTTTTTTTCATTAACAAAACGTTATCTAACACAAATAGCAGGAAGAAAAAAAGCGGCGTTGCTGCTTTTCATTTAATTGCAACCTATCTCTCATCGTGTGTGGGCAGTGTGGCGCCAATCTTGCAGTTTGTTGTTGTGTGGTTTCGTCAGGGAACACCAAACCTGGGGAATGTAATGTTCTGTGTTGTGCTCGGCCGTAGGTGTTATGTGGTTAGGCTGACATAGCTCTATCTGGCAGCTTTGTTATAATCCGGAGCATGAAGGATGGAGGCACTACGTTGTTCTGACATGTCAAGCTTGCTTACATCCTAAAGCATATATGTGACTGGCGCAACTGCTGTAAACATTCTCGCTTTCAGTCATCGGGCTCAATTAACTTGATACCATGGACGACTCAGAAAAAGCTGTTCACGAGGCGTTCGTCACATCCAAAGGGGACTGCAATCCTCTGGAGCTCCTTTTTGTTGGCGGCCTGTTGCTGTACAGCACCGTTCTGCACGCAACGCTTGCGCACTTGCCCCCTATCAAAACTCTCAGGAAAAACATCTGGTAATGTTGTCTAACCTTTCGTGCTCAGACCTAACTGATGCTGCTATTTCGATTACAGGTTTTCTTCGAGCCTGGCTATCATTGTCCAGTGTGTGCCGTTCATTTTGTCTTTCACTGTTCTTGCCGACTACTGGGCTTGCCTAGTGTTCACAGTGATCGCCCTCTCACTTGGAATACGGCTTTCATGGCGTCTGTTTGACCAGCAGACCCCAACAAAAAGCCAGGGGAAGAAGTCAGTTATAAAAAGGTACGTGCAGCTCAATGTTTATAGATACATTTTTTTTTTCAGTTTCCGAACTCTCCGTTTCGCTTTCGGAGAGTAGGCGGCCGGCTGTAGTCCCCGCCACCGCTGCGCTGCAGTCCAATTTTGCGTCAACCAAACAAGGGTCGTCTGCTACAGCTAGGCGTGGTGTAGCCGGTGAACAGCGTTTACACTGCACCGCAGTTTCTTGATTTAGGTAAGGGGAGTACAGCTTCAGGCCTAGATGCGTGTGCGGCGTTTTTCCGGGTCCTCGGTAGAAATAATAGCTCGCTTTCCATCTAATCGCAAATGTGTGGTTGTGAAGAAAAGAGTAAATAAATCTCACTACCAGTGCTGGAAGCCCCAGCTCGCTGAGGTTGGGTATAAAGACTTCATGGTCTATATTGTCGTAAGCTTTTGTTACGTCCATTGCTACTGTGCGTATTGCGTGGCGTTGTGTAGAAACTTGTAAAATATTGTCTAACAAGATAGAAAGTTAGTCTTCAGTCCCCAAATGAGAACAGAAGCCAATTTCAGCCAGATGGTAGTCATTGTGTTGTTCAAGCCACCAGGTGTCGCGCATTCAAGACCCGGGCCCTACACAAAGAACGTCCATGTTTATTTCGACTGCTCGTGCCTAAAATCTACCTTGTCTTCTACGACGTTCTGCTTCTTGTTGCCGCCCGTCCGCAATCAGCAGCAACATATTTCCCAGGGGCCAAGGCTGTTAATTCTCACTCACTTCCTTCTCACTCACTTCCTTCCATAGCTAAAGCTGATGTGCGAGGCCTAACCACCGCTGTGACCTGGGAGCACGACTCCGGTTGCAACTAAGAATACTAGGAGCACCCATGGACTGACGTGAGTGCAGGCATCGTCTGGAGGTCGCGAGACGGGAGCCCTCACGTCTACTTTAGCTCCGTCCTGACTCGCCCTTCACGACAACGGCCCGATGTTCACAAGTGAAAGCAGTCCATAGGTCAACGGCGTACATTTTGACAGTGCAGCCCTGTGAGTGCAGGCACCATCTAGAGGCTCGCGAGACGGGAGCCCTCATGTCTTCTCTGGCTCAGTACTGACTCGCCCTTCACGAGGATGGCCCGATATGCACAAGATCACGAAGAACGGCAGCCTGACAAGTGACGGATATTCGTTGTGTGAACCTCCTGCGATGGATGCCGTGTTGACTCCGACTTCGCCTCGTTACCTGGCCGGCCAGTGACTTCTCACGTTTCCGACACTGGACCAGATCATAGTGGCCCTCTACCAAAGGCTGAGTCAAACATGCAAGGCAGTCATGCAGGTCATCGCAGGCGTCGAGCGTCTTCAGCAATTGGATCGCCCACCAATCTGAGTTACAACGTATTCACAGAATTTCGATTGAGCAGTACGAGGAACTCAAAAGAATCAACAAGGAAGTAGAGGATGCAGTTGACATCGATCGCTTGGAAGCAGAGATGGAAGAAGTTGACGTTTACGAGCACAAGATTATTCTAGCAAGGGTCAGAGCATAATATAAGATCGCAGATACATTAAAGGCTCGGCAGATGCACCTAGACTCAATACAACAACGTATGAGAACAGAGGCCCAGAAGAAAGTACTCTCTTCGACAATGTCACCGCAATCTAACAGTTACAGCTTCAACGGCCATCTTGTCGCTCAGAACTTGGATGAGTGTACCACAGGACAAATAGAGGGACAAAATGGCAGCACACAAGCTAGAAGTTTAACTACAGAGAAGGCCTCTTTCGCACCGTTAAGAGATTTCATTAACGTGCTGCACCCATCAAGCTATTGACAAGAAGTGTACAACAACTGCAGGGTTCGAGGTGAAAAACATTCCCATGATTGAGAACGAAGAAAACTTTGTAGATCTAAAAGGCCATTCACCAGATATTAATAACGCATCCAAGTGAAAGCTGGCAGACTCCGACGATACAAAGCCCTCATCAGCCTGCGTTCAAGTGCCCGACGGAGAAAAAGGAAGGCCAGCTCACAAAGCGAGAAAAAACAGAAGAAAGAATAGGTCGACTGGTGGGTTTCGCCATGGGCACGGCGGCTCGTTCTTTTCCTCAACATCAGGAAACACATGTGGCCAGCATCTTTTCCGCAAACTGGTAGACAGTAGTCGTCAATGAAATTGGGCGTAAGGATTGCTGGTTATTTGGAGACTTTCCTGGTTTTGGAATCGGGACGACAACTGAGTTTGCAATCAGATGCGCCATCCCCAGTCTCCCATCTCTCATACTTCATTAATAGCCTGCAGAAGTGCATTAAGAGCTTCACCTTCCATGTTCTTGAAAACTTCTGAAAACTGCACGATCTTTAGATTAAACAGAGAGTAAGTCTACCGAAGCCTTTTACATGCATGTCAGCACTCTCTCAATCATTCTTTCTCAGAAGGAAATTAGCTTTTTGAAAGAAACCATATCGCTGCATATGTAACCCTTGACACTTTTTCAAAGAAATTGTTTGATGCTTGCCCTGCCGTGGTAGTCTAGTGGCTAAGGTTTGATGCTTGCCCTGCCATGTGCTGCCATGTGTCCAATTAGTGCTGACATGGCTGCTGACCCGCAGGTCGCGGGATCCACTCCCGGCTGCGGCGGCTGCATTTCCGATGGAGGCAGAAATGTTGTAGGCCCGTGTACTCAGATTTGGGTGCACGTTAAAGAGCCCCAGGTGGTCGAAATTTCCGGAGCCCTCCACTACGGCATCTCTCATAATCATATGTTGGTTTTGGGACGTTAAACCCCACGTATCATCATTATCATCATTGTTTGATGCTTGGGTATGTTTCCTTTTTCGTTTTTTTTTTCATATTCTGTTTTTCTATTGCTGAATTTTCCTCTCTTCTTTTTTTTTTCCATACATAAGTCTGTTCATGATCAAAATAAAGTAGTTGTTAGTTTGCACATCACAAGCATGAAGACGTACCAACTATTCCCCATTGCCATCTTATTACATTGACTTACGGTTAAAAAAAAAAGGAGGAAAGAAACAAAAATAAGATTCATCCGCAAGTATGTGGCAGGCAGTGTAAGCAACATGGTAAAAAAGAGCGTTAAGTAGAACACATGGAAAGAAAAAGCTCTGTAGGGTAAAGTGGGGATGGCAGTGTTAAAAAGAAAACTGTTTGAGTAACTACACCAAGGGTGAAGATGCAATAAGAATTTATTTTACGATGAGGAAAGCACTTTGCTATTAGAAGGGAGCTGGGGTTGTCTTAGAATGTGTAGCTTTAAATTGAGAAGGCAAAGTAAAGAAAATCTTTTTGTGATATACACGCCTGCGTGAGCTAAGAAAATTAACGAAACATGTTGAATGTGAAATATACATTTGAGTGTATGTTATGGCTCTGACCTATGTATGGAGCCTTGGGCTTTGAGGGCAATAACTAAAAAGTAAACCAGTCATTGATAGAGAAAAGTAAAAGACAACTGCAAGATTTGTGGGGAAGAAGGAGCAGAAAGAAAAAAAAAAGAAATAGAAAGGTCGTGTCAACTTTCGCACGCTACAATAAAATAAAATCGAGAAAATGAAAAAGAAAACAGCTATACAAGCGCAAGCACACTACTGTTCCATGCTTGTGTTCCCATTCTTTTTTCATTCATTGATTTTCTTTCATTGTAGTGTGCAAAAGCTTACACTATGTATAACCAAGTGGTCCCTACCCTGGCTATTCGAAGGTTATTCTGCAATAAAGCGCAGAAAAAAGGTGTAGTCTGTGCTTTGTTTTGTGGTTTTATATAAGGCTGTGGTTTCATAAGGTTGTTTTACAAGAAAAGAACATTAATTCAGCTGGAGTATATGAGGCCATAATAATAATAAATAATAATAATGAGAAGAATAAAAAGGAAAAGAAGAATAACAACACCGACAACTTAAGATTGAGCTTGGCGTAGTGGAGGTTGCAGCCCTGTTTTAAAAGGTTTCCCATTTCATATATTTGTCTACTGTAATGGAAAGAACTTGCACGGTCACTTATGCATCCACCTAAGATGTCTGGATTTTGTTGACTGACTCGAGAGATTTCGATGCCTACTGTGGTTTTGTGTTGCCTCCGGTTTCGGCCCACCTATGATAGTAGCATATGATGACATCATCATCCCACATCACATTGTGATGTCACAGTGACAGCTTCATGATGACATAAAAACTTCTGGCAATATGTGAGATGTGAGGCCATGATGCCATCATGAGGAGGTATACTTGTATCATAATGGTTTTTTACAACACTTGTGTTGACACCAATGATCATTTTTTATGTTTGATGAGACATAACTGAAGACGGCCACTGTCACGAAATTCGTAAGCTCTCGATGCAACGAACGAATGGGAGACGGCAGGAAAGAAAAAAACCATCCACGAGAAAAAAAAAAAAGAAATGCTAGAAGTATGTGTGGCATATTATCTTGTCTTTGCCCGGTGCTTGTTACATGAGAACTAAGACAATTCCAATGTTACTTTTAAAAAAAAAAAGTTTTTGGATCTCTTCAGGATTATAACCCTCGCATATGATCTACATTTTTCACTCATCAGTGACAAGCAAATTGTTGAAGTTACCCTATGTCTTATAAAAAAACTACATTACCGCCCCACGAGCATTTTCCGACTAAAAAAATTTTGAAAATGCCCTACAAGTAGGGTAATTACCCTACGGTTGGTAACGTTGCACCCAAGCCTAATTCTAGGAGATGATGTACTTGTTCCTTTGTCAGTGATGTCATCCATTTCTTAAAAGGCAGTGGCTTTTTACGTAAACTTTATAGAGTTGCAGATAACGGACTGGCGACTACAAAGTGTCTTGTGTCTGGCACAACTTAGCCTTATTTTTGGTTTCTCTTGCACCATCACGCCCAATTTAATTAACTAACCAACCAAAACAGAAGACTGCAAGTGTGAAAGCACATCAGGGTAACACGCCTACTTTTTTTTTTTTTTTTTCAATTTGAAACTTGCTTTAGAGATGCGCAGGACTATGTACCCCTTCAGTATCCACTCTGAACACCTCTGGTCAGATGCCACCCCGTGGCAGGAAACTCACAGGGGCCACACCACGTGTTGCAGTTTATTAAAAAAAAAAAAAAGGGAAATGTCTAAGGGCATTGGATACTGCATTGTGGGCTCTTGTAGCGCATTGCTCAAACACAAAAATGTAATGACTATGGAAGCTGTTGGTCAAGCTGCTTGTTGTTCTGCATGTGACATTAATTTCTTGCTATCACGGTCATTGCTTTGCTTTTGCGATAAAACTGTGACTTTTCTTGGTACCACTTTCATCTCGTGACAAGAATTACTTAGTTCAAGAAAAAACTCAGCTCACAAAGGACAAGTGCTTCTTGCAGCTGTTTTCCCTTGTGTGTCTTTCTTGTGTGCTGCGTTTTTTCTTGCGCTAAGTAATTCTCGTCAGTCTCCACCAACTAGGCCCTCAAAAAGCCCTTTTATCCAGAACTTTTGCTCCTATTTTATTGTACACATATATGGTAGCTTAGAAAGGCTGTTGTGATCTAGAAAAAAATTGCTGTGTCTATAAAGTTTTCATCACTTTTCAGAAGTGTTGCCACAGTTGCACCGCACGACTACCCCGGATTAAGCTCGGGTCGTGCCCAAGTCATCCTAATGACCATCTTTGGCATTTTGGCTGTGGACTTCCCAACTGTGCCCCGGTACTTTGCTAAGACCGAGAAGACAGGATTCAGTCCCATGGACATGGGTGTCGGTGCGTTTGTCATAATCGTGGCCGTCAGTTCCCGAGAGGCCAAGAACAGGCTTTCTGCAGAGCAGTATGTTATTCCACTTGTGTGTTCTTATTTAAATGAAGCTAGTAGCAATGATCGGTACAGTGATCGGAAAAATATTGTTGCACGCCTTTCACATGGTGGCATTTCCTGAAGCAAGTGTATGCACGTGCTTCTACTTATGACATGCAAGTTCTGTCGTCTTTTTATCATTACCAGGTTTGAGCATTGCGAACAAACAAGTGAAGATTAAGTTTGAGAAATACCAAATAACTGTCTGGTGCTTAAATGAAAATTTGAACAGCCTTTCTCTTGAGGAATCTGGGCATCGAGCCAGAGATAAGGTGACCTGGAGAAAGGCTCTACGGAACACAATGTTCTCATAACAATGCTATAACATATCTTATTGTCTGACGAACCAATGCAAAGTACTAGGGGTGTGCAGATAGTCACTTTTTTAGCTAAATGTAATACGAATCGAATAGCAATGACTCCAAACCCACACGAAACAAATAGAATACTATGAAGCGCTTTCGGGTAATAAGGCAGCCTTAAAATGGTAATGCAATCATTTTCAAAACTGCTCTAGACTTCATCTTATTTGAAACAAGTGTTCCCTATCTTTAACAAAGGAACATTGCAGTTACTTTCAACCGAAAAAAAAAAAAAAATCACTAGTCCACCTGTTTGCACTGTATTGCGCCATTTATGGCATAAAGCTTTTCTCGGTCTGACAGCGAACGCAACTAGAGTTTTGCCATAATGCTACCGATGCCCTTTTCATGCTCCAGCGATTCGCTTTTTGTCATTATATCCATAGTCTCTGCATCGCTGTGTGTATCTCCGTTGTTGAAAGTTTAGCATACTGTCAGTAGTCTCTTATTTTTTAGGGCGATAACATGTGGAAAAAGGATTTCTTTCTTTGTTGGCAAGTCACTCTGCATGCCGTAATGTAGCCACCGTGGTCAAGTGGCAATAGCTATCAGCACTGTGTGCTGTAAATGGTGTCTTCATGCAGATTCGGCTTTGAAAAATTTGTTTGATATTTCGTACAAGAAATAAATGCCTCCAAATTAAGCTGCACATGTTCATTGGTGTGCATATCGCTAGCATAAGCGTAAATTTTCATGTAAAGCATGTCTAGCATTTCTGCTCATGCACGTCCATTCTAGCTACCATATCTACAGGTTTGTTGCGCATGTACGTTGAGAAATCGATGTAATGCTACGTCAAGCTAGCCCACGTAGAAACCATGCCGTGCACTCAGTCAAATTAAGGACACTGTCACGTAATCTAAATGCCGTTGGAATAGTCAGTGTTGTCGCCAATCAACAATAAACATCAATGAAGTCGACCCAGCTTGCAAATCTGTTCAACTGATTCCCTCTCACATGTTGAGAACTATGCTTGTGAGCGTGCTCTGTGCAGTCCTATTTGTTCCCAAATCACACATTGATGAACATTGACATCATTGGTTGTGAGCACAAAATCATAATCTTGTCCGTAACCGAAAAATGGAGAAAGATGCGAATTAAGTAAATGATAAAAATTTCCACGTCCAAGCGAGGATCGAACCCAGGCCATTTTCATGACAAGCAGGTGTTCTACCACACAGCCATACGTCTGCTTGGAAATACAGTGGGATAGTGAAATGGGACAATGAAATAGTGATAGTGAAAAACAATGACAGGGACAGTTAAATAGTGAAACAGTGAAATACTATAGTGAGAATACAGTGATAACCAACTGGTTAGATGAAAGAAGTGCCGGTTATTTTTTTGCAAGTTGGGGAAGAAGGTGAGGGCGAGGTGCTTGGCCAAACGCGCCCTCCTTCCCGCTCCATCCACAATCAACTCCTCTTGGATTAGCTGTTGACACTGGTAGTAAGATGGGTAGCTCCAGGGAAGGACATTTTAGGGTTCCACTAGTGCTAAAGACTAATGCAAGTACATCCGGTCACGCTTTGGTGCACAGTATCTTGGAAATGCAGTAAAAATAATTTTCATGTCTTACAAACACGTCCTGTACGCAAGCTTCCCACTACATGTAATATTGCATGGTAAAAGTGTACATTGCCATCAGGCATCAGAACTTGTAATTATCGTAGCGACTTGGTGGTTTAAAGCAGGCGACCCTCTACAAAAGTCACACACTTTACTGCGCGTATTGCCTTAAGACCATGCAGCGGGTGCATAACAGGTTCGAAAATGTTTCATGTGCATAATTGCTCGTAATTTAGAGCATGCTGCCCATTACACAGAATGCACGAAAGCTTAACTCACTCAAGCCGCTTTCAACTTTAACAACTACAGGAGTTGCCACAAGAAAAAAAAATCTCATTAACTACGCCTTCGGCACATTTCCCGTACATCGTGACATGTTTCTTGCCGCATTCCTGACGGCTCGCCTCCACCCCCCGAGCAGTTCTCAGGCACAGCAAACATGGCACGATGTACGGGAAATGTGCCAAAGGCGTTGTTTATGAGATTTTCTTTTCTTGTGGCAACTCGTACATCGGGACTACTGGGCGCTGTATTAATGAATGGGTTAGGGAGCATAAATTAAATTTAATGAAAGATGGCTTGGCGCATTTGCCTATGCATTGTAAAGCCTGCAGGTGTGTACCACCTTTTAACGATTTTAAGATTCTAAGTAGAAGTAGGCATAAAACTGCGCGTGAGTTGATAGAAGCATACTACATTAAAAAGAAAGGTGAAAGTTGCATCAGCGAACCGTCGATGACGTTGTACTTATCTGAAAAGAGATTGTTTGATAGCTGGATAGCGTAAGGGTGTGTGAAGACTGCGCATGTCTGTATGTTGTTACTTAATTCTGGATTTGCGCCCGGTCTACTTTAGTTGGAAGTGCCGCTTATGCTTGTCGTTGAGTGTTTCTTTACTTTGTGTGTGTGTTATTTGCAGCCAAAGCATGTCAGTGTAAGCACTGCACTCGTTTCAAATCTCCTTTGTCAATTTTCTCAAAACCTATATTTCTGAAATTTTTTCGTATGTGGACAGTCGTAGCTCTTTTACTAATGAACATTTCTCATTAAAACTTTGCACATTTTCTTATCACAATATTAGCTGTGCAATGAACCTCAATAAGCAAAATCGTGCCACAATATTTTATATGGCTGCCTGTTATACGAAGGTGCCCCTAGTGTTAGTGCATACTTTTTTGGTTATCTAATTACTATGTTTTTACTATTCATCAGATCTCATTTGTTTTGGTTCTTCGAGCAAGCTTGATACAATAAGAAAGCTTTTTATATGTGCCTGAAAGAAAAAAGAAACTTTTTCAACGAGCGGAACGAGTTAGGGGGATTTGCACAAGGCACACTTTTAATGAAATATTTAATAATGAAGAGTTAACATAAAATATGACTGGCTTTATAACGCTCACATGTGCCTAAAAAGATGTGTTTTATATTGCAGACTAATTATTTCTAGTGATCATTGCTTAAAAAAAAATTGCATCACTTGGCCTCATTCTTTAAGGCAATCAGTCTGGAAAAACAAGATTTTGCTATGTGTGAATGAAAGAAGGGAAACTTTAACACCTCTCCATTAACTGGAACTGGAAGACAAGAAAGGCAGGGATAGTATAGAGGGTGCTATTGTATAGTAATTATGATGTAAAAGGATGTGATGTATGGTAGCGTTTTTTTTTGTTGTTGTTTTGTAGGTCAAATTGCCTTCGAATATTTCTTGAAGCTTGGTGTGTTGAATTTCTGGCTGTCTTAGAAAGCGATCTACCCCATTTTTATAATTCTAACAGAGGATGCTGTCAAAATCTGTGACTTCATTCTAATTGGTGTGGTGTCATCATGCGTATTTCCATTCAATGTGTTTTCTAGCACACGTAAAGTGTCCTGAGGTTAAAGAGGTGCTTTCACTATCGTGAAATTATTCCCTTGAGGCATTGTGTGTACAATTGTGCACATAAACTTTGGGTACGTGTCATGCGCAGTGTTTCGTCAAACGGCTTGAAATGCACATTCGTGCGGACTTCCTTAGGGGACAAGTAGTGGTCATTTGACTTTATAGTGCTGCATATTGCTGTAGACGATCACTTCGTTGAAGACATCACATTCGACAATCGTTCTATATGCCACGTTCCAGGACTAACGCCAAGGGTTTTCTTTCTTCGCTCAAAATGAATGCAAGCGAAAAATGAGCTGCGTAGGAATTTTGGGCTAATAATTGATTTTTTTTTACGCATGACTTGAAGCTGCCCTATTTCAAAATGTTAACATTCTAGTGGAGTTTTCGAACAGTGGGTCGTCCTCTCCAGCGCCTTCTGGTGGGTCACCCTCTTCGTAAGAAGAGCAGCTCGTGCAGTGAGTCTGTCTCCGCATTGACTGTCGTCGTGCATCATCGCCGAGTGTCCGCAAATAAACGTCTTAACGATTTGGTGGAGAGTGCTGTGCCCTTCAAGCACCTTCGGTCCGCATTCGATGCCCTTGGAGCTTCGATCCTGTACCGTGCCATCTACCATGCACCAAGACGCCGCCCAGCAAACGCTTCTGCTGAGCCGCCTCCATGTCCTGGTGTCCCCCGCATCCGCGACCCTCCTGTCTTCACCGGCGCGGATGGCACCGACGTCGAGTACTGACTCGCCATGTACGAATGTGTGAGCATCCCCAATCACTGGGACAAGGCAGGTAAACTCGGCAACCTGGTTTTCTACCACGCGGGTGTGGCCGGCATGTGGTACAACAACCCCGCATCCGATTTCTCAACTTGGTCCGCTTTTAAAACCGCCGTCGTCGACGTGTTCAGCTGTCCTGTCGTTCGTAAGCTGCAAGCCGAACAGCCTTTATGTGAACGAGCACAGCAGACCGGCGCGTCCTTCACAATTTACATCGAGGACATCCTTGACTTGTGCGAGAAAGTGGACGCGAACATGTCAGAGGCTAAAAGAATCACGCATGTTCTAAAAGGCATCGCCGACGATGTCTTCACCGTGCTCCTGGCCAAGAACCCTCGCACTGTGACAGAGGTCAATACACCATGCCAAAGTTGCAAGGAGCTGCGGCGGCAGCG